TGGTGGCACAGGAGCCAAGGGGCACATCCAGTGCTGGGGAAAACTCCTCCTAAAACTGCTGCTCTGCTCAGCAACATCCCCTGCTTGGGAAGGCAGATCCAAGTGGAATTAACTGGTTTTATAAGGAAACATTAGAGCTGAGTCCAATTCTAAACACAAAAGGTAGTTTCATAAGCAGCATTTCACACAATCACAGAAGGGTTTGGGTCAGAAGGGTTCTTAAGGATCATCTGAGTCTCAAAATCCAACACAATTTCAATTCAACTTAATGGCACAGAATGATGAGGATTTTTTCCTGCAGTAACTCATTTGAGGGGATTGAAAACCACTACAAAGGCAGCTGTACAGGCTGAAAGGTAAAAGTTCTTCCCTCTGCACTAAACATCTGGTTTCCTCGTGGGATGCAAGAGAAAACCCCAGTAGGAGCAGGGGTTGGAGCAGACTCCCCCTCCAGGGGCTGCTCTGAGACCTGCACAGCTTTCACTCCCAATTAAATTCACTTTGCTCCCAGTAGGACCCACAGAACGTTGTGATTGTACCTCAAAACTCAAAATCAAAGGCAACACAGCGAGGTCTGGGACAGCAGCAGCGGGAAGGGACCTCTGTGGGAAGCTGGGAGGGCTGGGAGGCAGCAGGAGCATCTCCTGAGGAACCAGCTGGGCTGATCTGCAGCACAACACCCCACACAACCCCACCTTCCTCTCTGCTCAGCCTGGGCTTTGACCTCAGGCTGCTTCTGCTGGGCTTGACCGGACCAGACACAAAAGGACCCCTCAAACCCTCCTCCCACCCTCTTCCCATGGGTCCCCACCTCAAACACTCCCAGCTGGAACTTCAGCTGCAAACCAACCACAGTTTATCAAATCTTCCTCCAACCTGCTCCCCACAGGACCCTCCTGATCCCTTGAGGTGGTCCCTGGTGGGACCCAGGGGTGCCCCCAGCCCTCTCCCACCCCTCAGAACCCACCAGAAAAGCCTTCCCGCATGCACGACCTACTCACTGACTTTCCAAGATAAAAAAAACCACCAAACAAGCCCTGTTTTCACACCAACCCAAAAATAGCTCCCTGGTTCCCAAACGACTGCAAGTTATTTCTGTTCCTTCCACGCCAGCAGAGATTGGAGGCTCGTGTGGCACCGCTGGCACCACGGGACACGGGCACGGGCGGCTGTGACAGCCAGGACAAGGACACACAGCCCTGGTCTCCCAGCACCTCCACCTCCAAAACCTCCCCCAGAGCCAGCTGCAAACTGTTGATCCTATTCCCAATAATCCCAGACCGGAATCACCCTCAGCAGGTCAGAAGGGGCCTTGAGGACGATCTGCTCCAACCTCTCCTGGCAAGAGCCCGGCCTGGATGAGACAGCCCAGCTGAACCTCCCCAGATCCCTGCTCTGGCTGTTCCACAAAGAGGAGAATCCTGGGGGTTGTGACCTTTTAAAAACACTGTCAGTGCTGAGGCTGATGTGTCTGGACCTCCAGCCCAGCTGCAGGGCTCACACTCCCAGCACCACACTGACCCCACAGACAGTTCTGAGTCAAACCCCTCCTTCCCTTGGCAGAGGTGTCCAGGGACACAATCCATGGGAAGTGTTTCCCACATTTACAAACACGGATTGCACACGGATTACTGGCTGTTCCCAGAGCACAACCTCTGCCTTGCCAGATGTTTGGGCTTTAAGGTGACCGACAGGAGAGGTGGGAAGTGAAATAAGGAATGTGCTGGGAGAGCACCAGGATAGAGGTGGGTCCTGCCTTCCTGCAGGTTTTAACCCTCCTGAAGTGTCCACTTCTCCTCTCTTACAAAAACCCAGCATCCTCAGATGGGATTGTCCCTTGCCTCACGTCCTTCTCTTCCACACCCCAGCCAGGCTCAGCACAAGGGGCTGCTGGAACCACCCATGGAAGGCAGAGCCCTGGAGGAAGGATTTTCCCCTCCTCTCCATCATCTTCACCCTCTGACCCCCTCCTGCCATCCCTGGTCCTCCTCCAGCCCTGTCCTCTCCTCCTCCCTCATTTTCTCCCACTGAAAGGTTTTTTTCTAACTTTAAAACCCTTTCATCCCTTCATGTTTTATCAAGATAGAGCACATTTTGCTCTATTTTGCCCAATATTCAGCTCATCTCACAAAACTAGGTCACGAAATTCGCAGCTTATACGAATTAGGCTTTAAAGACCCAGAAAATCCCTCTTTTGGGCTTTTTTTTCCCTCCTTTCTCTGTACAATTTCCAGGTCTAAAATATTTACCAAAACAAACCCAAACACACCACTTTGTTTTAAAATTCCAAGAGTTATTTACAAAATAACTCGTCCTCCGTCATTTTGTTTGAAAACTATTCTGCAAAGAATAAAAACAAGCCACGTGCATGTTCTGGGGGGCAGGTGAGCCCTGTAAAGCTTCCACCCCAGCAGGGAGTTTTTATGGAAATAGCAGGGAATTTTTGTGGAAATATCAAGGAGTGTTTATGGAAATATCAGGAGGGTTTTGTGGAAATATCAGGGAGTTTTTATGGAAATATCAGGGAGTTTTTATGGAAATATCAAGGAATTTTTATAGAAATACGAAAGTTTTTATGGAAATACCAGGATGGAAGAGCACAGAGGATTCCCCTGTGCTGTCCCAGCCTCCCTGGGACCAGGCTGAGCTGCAGCCTGAGGCTCTTGGATGTGCAAGGAAAAGAGGATGGAAACACTGGAACACCAACATATGGACCCAAAAAATGATCAAAGCTATTCTGAACATTCCCTGGGGCAGGAAGCAGGCTGGGAAATGAAGGCATGGACTCGCTGGCTGCAGGAGCATCACAGCCCAACCTGGGCTGAGCTGGGGGCACCACGTTCCCAATCCCCCCCCAGAGCATCACCACAGCACCAGAACATCCAGGGAGCACCAAAACCCACCACCTTGGTAACACCCACACTGCCAAAATCCCTCCAGGGGCCACAGTTTGGAGGGAAACACAACTTTGGCTGCCCTTCAAAATTCTGTGCTACGCTGAATTACTCCAAACTTCATCTTTTTTTTAAAAAAAAATCAGGATTAATGAAATTTTGGACCCTATTTTCTTGTTACTAGACCTCGTAGGAGCCTGATACACCAACTCATCCATGCATAGCAAATTTGGTCCAGATAATCCAACAGAATTAATTATCTGAAAAAACAGCCTTCAAAGATCAGGTGTCCATAAATCACCCAGGACAAAGCTCAGAGTCAGGTGTGATGTTCACCTGTTATTCTGATGGATAGGTGATTGCTAGTTGCACATTTAATTCCATTTCTAACCACACTTTCTCATATTCCACCATTTATTGCACAACTGAACACGTATATTCCAAAAGGGATGTTAATGGCAGTGATTTGCCACAGAAATGTGGGGTTGGAGTCTTTCAGGAATTGGAACAATCAGCTCAGCTCTTCCAGCAGTGTTAGTGCTGAGGTGACAAACAAATGGCACTTTTTCACTCTCTGAATTTGGGACAGGTTGGCTCCTCTCCAGTTTGGACACTTTCAGAGTATTGCTTTGGGAACATCATTAAATAAAACCTCCTTCTGGGTAAAATCCAACCACCCCTTGAACTTTTTTAAAAGAACAGGTGATGCCCATGAGGTCCTGGGGAATGTTTCCTGCTTTAGCTCCACACAATCCCAGAACATGCTGAGCTGGAAGGACCCACAAGGGTCACGGAGCCCAACCCTTAACCCTGCACAGGCCCATCCCAAGAGTCACCATGTGCTGAGAGGATCATCCAACTCGTAATTCCCATGGTTGTGTCACCACACAAATGCTGAAAAGCATTTCAGAAGGATACCTGTGAGCACCCGGGGGTGCAACACCTGCACAGGTGAGATGGGAACCAGGACAGGAACACTGAGCCAGGAATTCCCCCCCATCCCTGTTTCCTGCCAGCTGGGAACAGTGTCCAGGCCTGGCAGTACCTGGGAAGAGGGGCTGGATTGTTCTCCCTTCTGCAATCCTTGGGGGTTTTTATTTTGTTTCCTTCCCCCCTGCTTTTTGTTCCTTCTATTTGCCTTTTGTTTCCTCTTTTTTTCCTCCCATTTTTTCCTGTCTATTTTCCCTT